ATCTGGAGAGAGGGTTACATCTAAGAATCCCTACACGACTCACCCCATTTTTCTCACTGATGGTATATTCTGCACCAAGTCCAGACATGTCTTCTTAGCAAAGAAGAACTTTTCTAACAGAGGCCAACTACTGAATAACAATTTTGGGATTAACCCAACACACAAATGGACCAAAATAGCAATTGGAAGCACAAAAGACAAAACTCAGCAATCTATACTCCAAAAACTTTCACAGACACCACAAGTATAAAAAAACACAAAGCCCAAACCTAGAGAGCACAAGCTGATCCCTACCAAAACCAAGCAAGGTTGGAGAATCACCGCTAAAGCCAAAGCACCACTACTAAAGCAAACAACCACTTGCGGAAGAAAAAATCCAATTTCAAAGGAAGAAAAATTCACTATCGAAGGGAAAAAATGCCCATAAATCAATAGGTTGAGCACATAAAAACCACCAAAGCTCCAAGTAGGCTTAGTCGGCACCCACCGGTTCCATTTGGGTGATTGGAACAGTTTGAATCTCAACCAAATCAAAGATCGCGAAATACGACCCAAAAATCTTGAAAACATTCAAAATTCGAAAAACACTTTAGATGGCTTCAAAAAATTCTGAAAAAAATCACCATCATACTCAGGAAAAAAAACTGACACAAATGTTGATTTTGAAAAATTCTAGCGATGATGTAATCTTTCTGGCGTCATATGTCAGAAACACAACAACCTACCTCCCAATGCCTTCTAGAATATTCCTATGACTTAGAACTTTCGTTTGATTGTTCTGATACCAAGTTAAAATCCAAAAATCTTCAGTGTAGCAAAAGGGAAGAGGCAAGAGAAGGAAAAGATTAGAAACTAGGATTAAGAAGAGTGAGAGTTCATCAACTTCTCCTCTCATCACCCATATTTATATTAACTCATAATAAAATGAAGATTACAATAATACCCTTAATTGAAATATCCTAATATTCTACAAAATGCCTACTCGGGAGAGGTGACCCAAACCCGATCTAAATCCATGTGCAACTCTTAAATATGATCCAAATTTGGATATATACTAATTTAATTTGACAAAATTCCAATCTGAATTATACATACATGGAATTAAGATAGCCCAAGCCACGTACCCTGCCCACCTCCCCACCTCCATCAAGAATCTGCCTGGCCACCCTCCCTTTCTCCACATGTTATTGTCAACATTATAAGATTGCATTTGCTCGGAAACCAAACCAACCCTTCTCTTTCTTGGGAAATTGCTTCAATTCTAAGGAAGCAATCAATAGTGCAATACAAGAGAGAAGTAATAAACAAAAGGTTGGAGAGCCAATTTGCGTGCCTCGGCGATAAGAGAGTAATCTAAGGATGTCGCCTCTAAATGCTGACTTTTCGTCTATGATAGATCTTGCTTGTTGAAGCTAGGGTTGAATTGCAAGTACAATTTTTCTAGGAAGCATTGGTATCCAATACGTATCAAATAGGCATACGCATTGATGAAGCACAAATACATATCATATACGTGTTATACATATCTGATAATCAATGGAGTATATTTTGATTTAAGAATACGTAGGGATACGAGACGGATACGGGCTAGATAAGGGAATGGATATAATGGGGCAAAAAAATGAATATCAAACTAACCACACTAAAATTCAACAAAAATATAGATCCAAAGTCGTCCCCCAACAAAAATCAAAACAAAACAAGAAAATAACACCTAGAATAGTATAGTGAATTCACATCCACGACCGCAAACATACATCCATGAATTTCCAACACCAATCGATGTCAAAAGGCTCACTATCACGGGCTACATCAATGGTAACTTCACCAATAAAGCTCTCCATAGTGCACCACAAATAATAATATCCCCAATGTAATTACAACTCTAGGGCTTCTCATTAGGACAAAATAAAGATATTTACATAGAGAATTGGGAGACTAAGACATATATATATATATATATATATATATATATAAAGAGAGAGAGAGAGGGAGAGAATCAACAGAGTGATAGAAAAAAATCCAAAAAATTGTACAGAGATAAAGATGATTGATGTGTCAAAGACGATGAAGCTTCAAGAGATACACAGTTGCAAAGAAAAAAAAAATGTAATAGAGCCAGTAGATATAACTACAGTTGCTATAAGCCAAAGAGACCGAGTACATAACTCAAGTTGTTGTCTTGAACAAGGATAAAATCCCGTTTCGATGCATAGTCACGATTAACTAAGAAACAAAAATGCTTTCCAAATGTTTCGAAAACATAATGAAAACACAGAGAAAGGCTGAAAATATGTTTCCAAAATATTGATCGAAACATACAGAAATACGTCAAAACATTTTAAAACACTTTGCATAGGAATTTTGATATTCAATCACTGATTCAAGTTGTACTCTAGAGAAACTGAAACATTTAGGTCGTTTCGGTGGGAATGAAACGAAATTTGGTTTCTTGGTCTTAACTGCTATCGAGCTGGCAAGCAATATTGTATATGTATGGCAGTTAAAAACTTAAACTAGCTATAACTCTTTCATCTATATTTGTCAAAACTTAATTAAAATTTAAATATTGAATTTTACAACATACAAAAATATTTTTAAAAAATTACTATATTCTAGCTTTTGAGATTTCTCTCATTGTCGTGTTTGTATCATATCATACATGTATCCCATATTTGTATCCACACTTTGTAAAGGTTCTTATATTTGTCTAAATGCATCAACAACCCAAGGATTGAAGATATACCTGAATTGGAAAGTGGGTTTTGGTATTTGTGTGTATGTGCTTTCAAATTTTGGAATGCAGCAGGATGTTGAAGATCTTGTTGTATTGAAAAAGATAAGTAGGGTTTCCAAAAGAACTCAAGACTCTATCCGCGAATTCTTTCAAGTAAGATTATATTCATCATTTTTCTTTTAGATTTGCAGTTGAAATAGTAGTATTATTGATAAAATTAAGATGAAATTGAATTGAAATTCAGGTGATTGATTCAGGAAAGTAAGTTTTTAATTTAGTGAAATTGTTTTATTTAATGAAAGTTTGTAGGAATTCAAGTGATTCGAATCAAACCGGATTTTCAAATCACATGTCTGATTCTTAGCATATTCAGATATGAACTACATTTTTTGACATCCGTCATAAATATAGATCAGGTTTAACACCACATGTTTTTTTTTTTTTTTTTGAATTTGGATTGGGATCAACCACGATCTAATCCGATCCAAATCTAATATGCTAACAAGCCTCCTCTTTAAGGCATTGACTTGGCTATGATTTACTCGAGCTTTTTAGGACAACTATTTCCCTTACACGTACCGTTATGAAAAATAGACACTTATTCAAGTGAATAAACAAAGATTTCCCTTCCACGTAGGACTATGAAAAATGGAGAGACTTTATTTAGCTAATTCATCAGGGAAAGGCGTATATAGGCAATGTCACAATTCGCACCTGATCTGATCAATATAGAAGAAATTTAGCGTAGAAGATTTTCAAAGAGATTGCTTATGCCATTATAATCTCAATTTTCAACGTTCAAGATCCATGAAACACTTACACACTAATTTGCCCAATGACAGCCCGGACAGGTGTCATATACATAACCATAAGTTTCTGATTTTATTTTTTATTTTTTATATTTGCATAAATGGAGACGTTTGGAATGCTTCCAAAAATGTTGGGAGCAATTTTCAATATGGGGAAAGTACTCACTATTGTTGATGATTGTTTGTAGAATCCAACAAAGCAAAGGAACATCATATACCAATAAAAGAAAAAAGATGCAACGGCAAACAAGCAATGGTAGAAAGCAGCTGCAGAGAAGCAGAGACGCACAATATGAAGAAGACCCAGACAATAAACAAACACCATGCACCGTTTTTAGGAATTTCCAACAAGATTCATTTGTGGAGGAAGTGAAGCATACTTGTTATGTTGTAGATTGGGGGACTTAGAGAGGGGGAGTGATGGGAAGAGAGACAGAAAGTTGCAAAGATGCAGAGATTTGGGAGACAGATATAGAGAAATTGAATCGTTGGACGTTTGTATTGTATCAAGAAGCTTCCCAACTTTCTCAAAAAAAAAGTCCTTGCCTTTTACTATATGTGTCGATTGGTGATCTTAGATATATTATCCTTATCTAATTTATCATAGTTTTGCATGTGTGCTGTTCATGTGTTGCACACAATTTATAACATTTATTCTGGGCCAACTTACTAAACTCATAAGAGTCATAGTCATATAAATATATTGCATACACCAGCGTGTCCCCAACATGTCTATGTCCTACTTTTTAAAAAAATATAGTGTCCATATCAAGTCTTATCTATGTCTGTGATTCGTAGCGATAATCCACTAAGTTGGATATAGTGTTATCTTTGAGATGAGAACAGTTCTATAGGGAGAACATGGCCACCTTCTTTGCTTTACAATGATTAAATTTCTATAAAAAAAGGTTATAAAATTAAAAAAAAAAAAATAGAAAGCATTGGCAGTTGTAATCGAACCTTAAAAGTTTGATAACAATCAACAAAGCTGATGCTCAAATTGACATTCAAGTAACCAACCTAAAAACAGACATATGCAAGAAGAAAGCTACCACTGCTAACAAGTTGAAATCCAACCTTAAAATTTCTACTACAATCAACGAACATGATGCTCAAATTGGCATTCAAGTTATACCCTAAAGACAGACATATCTAAGAAGTCGTATCTGTGTTTGATACAAAAAATATCAAGGTCTAATCACCAGAGTTGATATATGGTAGTGCCATCACTATATTGTCAGTTACATGAACATACATATGTCCAATATGCTGTGTCCTTGTTATACCAGTATCCATTGGATGTTGGTAATTATTGACTATCATCATTCATAAGTTGAAAAATTCATGCTCCATACATTAGCCCCTTGCAGAGCACTGTCAAAAAAAATAAATTTATTTTGACAAGTGTAGCACTGTTCAAATTTTGGAAACACTCAAATCTTCCACCCAAAACATTATCCATAAGAGCTAAAAATTAGAAGTGGAGGAAGAGGAGGAGGAGGAGGAGAAGCAATGGAATAGGACATAAACTTGATGTCAAGATAATAATGTATATTCCTGTCAATAACAGCCTTGAAATTTAAAGCAAAAGCTAGTAATGCAAGATAAACCTCACCAGAAATCAATAAAACAAAATAAGAGAAAGAAGCAACAATCACATGCTATGATAGGTTCCACAAACATATCCATAATGATATCCAGATTTAACATTTGTGCTCAAGTTAACTGCAGCCAAGAGAGATAGTTACCTTCCTATAAGCCAATATATCGGACAGCGGAATTGAAAGTGTCATCTTCAGAGCGATATCCAGTGCATCAGCAAGTGCTCTATCACCATATAGGTCAAACACACCAAAGTTCACATAGTTTCCAGCAAGAGCTGTCATTTGGAAGCAAATTACTCAAAATTTAGTAAATAACACATTTATTTAGAGTAAGCAACTTGTTCCTATATATTTAACCTGATATAATGGAACAGAAGCTACCATAGGTTAATTCCACATTTGTTGCATATAAGCTAAAGAAATCATTCTACTATATTTTGCACACCTTTGGTGAATGTACTACAGAAAGGAAAACGTATTAAATTAAAGCATCACATCTTAATTAGAGGATATTTAAAAAAACCTAGAAATTTTGTGTGCGTGCATTAGTTACACCATATTGTCAAGGAAAATATTCACAGGGGCATCGCACAAAGAAACACTCCAATGCAAGATAAGGTTATTTGTGCAGAAGTACAACACTACTTCATGGAGAAAGTGAAAGCGAGCAAGAGGCCAATGACTCAAATTTCTATCACTAAAAAAAATAGAAGCGACGAAGATTGCTTTATTGTAGCTAAAAAGAAGTTGGTGATGGAAAAGATGATGTAAAACCATTTGACAAAGCAAAACCATAACTTCTAATTCCAATAGGAAAATGATAATGATTGGAAATCACATTATTCTATTGGTTTAGATAAGTATTATTGCACTTCTTTTAAGCATATTGTTGCATTTTAAATGAGTTTTAATATTTTCATCTCGTTAGTCTTGATTTGATTCAATTGGTAAAAAAACGTACTTATTATGTTATTCTCTTTTATAGGAGATTTAATCCCAACCAATTCATCCGGAAGCCTAGAGGATTGAAAGGTCAAGATTAAAAGATAAAGATTTGAAGATGATTAGGCAATATAAGCTTTGTGGGAGTCCAAATTAGTAAGAAACTCATTTAGAATTGAATTAGGAAATTATTCTAGAAGATAAGGTTTTGACACGTCTTCAGTAATTTGACCATAACTTTTGACTCCAATATCGGATTGACCTGATTTTTGTGGCATTGGAAAGACACTTCAAGAGCTACGAAAGTGTATTTCATGAAAATTTCATGAATCAACCTCTAATTATGTCAAAATCGAGCTTCAAAGTTTGAGCAAATACGGTATCTGCATTGGGACGCACCCCTAGGATATGATGTACAAGTTCTAACCTAAATGTACTTTTCTTTTTTTTTTTGCGAAGACTTATTCCAAGGCCAACCCTAACTTCCCTAGTATAAATATAGGCTCTTTCTTTTAAGAGGCATGATTCTAAATCCCATCTTTTACATCTTTCTTTATTTTTTCTAAGATCTACCCATGGCCAGTAGTAGTTCTCTTTATACTCTTTAGCCTAGGATATGGATTAGTAATTGTTTATTTGGATATTTATATTATCCAATTCTTTTCTTAATTTTAATGTTAAATCTTTATTTCATCAAGGTTGATCGAATATTCTAATAAAGTTTTATACTCTGTGCAATTATTTGACTGTCTATTAAAAAAATAGTTTTTGGTACATTCAATTCTTATGTTCTCTGCAAGTTTTATAAAACTAGTTTTTCAATTCTTATTTCAATATTAATCAAATTAATTGTTCTAAAGTTATATTTGTTGGTTGACTACATTGATTTGAAAATCAACTGAGCTAATTACAATATAATTATCCGATGAACATGAACAAATCTAGATCTCGAAGCTAACGAGTCTTCCAATAGATATTTACCTTTATTTTATTTACAATTGCTTCTCCAACTCAAATTTAACCTTTACCAAAATCAAGCATGTTCTAACTCTACCTTATTCATAAATTCTCTTTAATCCATGTGGTTCGACCTCGCACTCCTAAGAAATTATTACTTCTTGACCGCCTACATGGATATACCTTTTGGGAATCAAGTAAGTTTTTGGCAACGTTGTCGAGATCATAAAGGTGCAATTTGAGAAGGAGGAAGAATCCACCTTCACCAACGGACTACTTGGAGAACTTTTTCCACTTAACTTCGTTCCATCTTGTATTTATTTCTTATATTTTTTTATGACCATTATATATATATATATATATATATATATATATATAGATTAGAATTTTCATAATATTTATTGTTTATCTTTTTCCAAGCAGATAACTAATTCACCTCAAAGCTTGTGATATTCAAAAGTGAATAACAGTACATAAAATATTCAACAAAATTGATAAATCACCTCAAAAAATCTATTCCCAACACTTTGAGATCAACCACATCAAACTTGTTCCGCCATTGTGCTTCTATAAAATTATATTGTTTGTTAAACCACAAGCTCCCATATTTTTTTACCATCTCATTTGACATTTATTTTGGCCTGTCACTACCTCTCGCGTACCATTTATAGGGGTATCACATCACTCTTCTACTGTCACGAAAATATCCACCCCACCACTATAAATTCTCTATCAACTTACGTCTGACTATTGCAGTCCACCGTCAAGAATATCCTCCCTCCCTAAATATTATACAACATGAAGCATGGTTAGGCATATGGTTGTAATTGTTAAAGCATCCAACTCACTGGCAAAGAGCAGAGAGGCACCTTAGTCTTATAAATTAGCATTGGATGGTCATGAAATTTGAGGTGAGATAGAAGTTCTCTTACACAAAGGACAACTAACAAAAAAATCAAACAAGGATGCATACTAGAAAATTCAAATGAGTATGGAAGAGACTTCGTCCAGTAATCATCCAAGTAAAACAATGAACAATGAGTAAAAAGGTCCCTTAAGTATATAAGCCAAACTTGGATTGTCCAAATCGTTCGATGTAGGATACAAGCTCTCTTTACATTTTTATGAAATTTAGCTTTCAACAAAAGAGTTAGATGTTGATCACAAAATACACGAAGTGCACTCCTCTACTTAATTCATCATGCTTGAATGCTATAACTAGCATTATTCCCAATCTCCCCTCTTGTCAATAATGGAACCCACATATAGAACTTGATCACTTTTCGGTATCTTTTTATCTTGAATCTTTAATATCTTCCAATTGCCTTTTCATTTTTACTAAAATTACATCCATGTATGTTATGCTCGTTTATGTATCTTAAACAATTTCAGTTCTAAAGCTTCCTAACTTCTAATTTTGGGTCAACTCATACTTTAGTTTTATCAATCAATAGCATATTGTCAGCAAATAACATATACATGGAACTCCACACACCATGGAACACCACAAAATTCATAAACCGAATAAAATGGGAATATTACAAAAACAAAATTCTAGGATTGGACTTCGTGGCGCAACAAGTCTAAAGAACATTGAAAATGGCCAAAATACATGTGACACTATATTTTATCACCAAATAAAGTGGCATATAAATTGTACAAATATGAATCAGATTACAAATACACAAGCATCAAAATTCATGGAACCAATTAGGCTTTATTAGTCGCAGCAGATAAACCCGCAAAAGATTTTAAAGTAAACATTGGTTGATACTTCACCTCTTGAAAGAATAGTTAAAGCTATCCAGATTCCCTTGTATTTGAAGGCATAAATATCAGCAGCATTTGGGAGAGAGAAAATCCTTGACCCATATGCAACAAGTAATTTGCTGACTTCTCGGAAAAGAAGTATACCATTAGGAGAAGAAGAGTCAAACGTCAAGCGCTGAGCTTTGTTTAACACAAACTCAGCCATAAATTTCAACAATGGGGTTGTAACCTGAGCAATTTATTCACACAGCAAACACACGGTGATAAGAATGTAACCACAATGCCAATACACCAAAAAGATTTTCTCAAGCGATGGAGAATTCAGCATGGCATCTAACCTCTGGTGTATCTGCCCAATGAGAGATGCCTTTTAAAAGAATCGGCATGTGTGCAGGATATAACCAATCAAATAGAAGCCCGTAAGTTCTGCGACTGGAAGACATCAAAAAGGTTATATGAACACAAGTAAAATTCTTCATTAACAAGTACTCATTTATAGATGGCCATATACCAACCTATTTGTGGCCATTGCAATTCCTCTAAGATCCCTCATCAACCCAATTAATGCATATTTCACAGAATCAGTTCGAAACATTGCATCAGGTGTCGATTCCAAACTGATGAAAACCTAAAGCACACCCAATATTACATAAAATACCACCTAAAGCACAATGTAAGGATGGTAAAGAAAATCAGCTCCCTTCAGATTGTCAGGGGCACATAATTGACTGGTTCAAAAACAAGCTTCCAAAAAGTAGTAATAATCATCAAAAAAACTATCATGCTTTGAAGAGAAAACTCAGTAATATGAAAAATTTTGCAAGAGAAGGGCTCCCAGAGTTGGAAAAAAGGGATGAAACAGGGATAAACTGCTGTCACAAACTTTCATTCCATAATGTACGCTCTCCTTTTCTTTTCTAGATGCTGTTCTCCAATCTCTCCAGTTTGGGAACATTTTGTCATTCTGTTTCCTTGAAACTGGAAACAAAATAAAATCCTGCTCAAAAACCAGTTTCTGTAGCATTGAGCTGCTCTCTCAGTAGAGCAAAGCATACTCATCAATTGCATACATGTAATTGCTTCTATGAATTGTGCTTCCTACTGAAACAAAAATACCATCAAAATATTGATTTGAAACTAGAAAGATAGTTTGATGGAAGAACTATGACTTTGTTCATAGACCATAGAACAAAAAAAATCACAACATAACATGATTAAAAAGGCAACCAAGTGCACAAGCCTCTCACCATTGCGGCATCTAGGGAAAGTCAAATGTACGCATTCAGAGGGATAGTTTTGGTGACTCCAACCAATGATTCTAAATTTTGATTCAAAACAGTCGAAATGCTGTCATTTTCGTGGAAGCTGAAACGATTAAGTGATTTGAATATGGAATCCCAATATTTAGAAGTGTTTCGGAATGTTTCGACCAATGCTTCACAAACAAATTACAATTCATTTCTCCATTTCCATTCTATTTTGGAAATGTTTCCGACATGTATTACAAATATTTCCAAAACGTTTCCATTTCCTACATGACCGAAACGATGCACCAAAACGAAATTTGGAATCTAACCCTTGCCACGCAAGTCACAATGGAGCAATCTGACCAATGCACTAAGGTCCACCCTCATGGCAAAATACGATTTAGGACACAAATTGAGTGCACATACAGACATGCAACAAACAAATAAACAAACTCACACAGAAAGGAAAGAGACCATACCTGCAAAAGTGGATCCATTGAAGACTTAAACTTCACTGGGCTATCCTCCATAAAGATTAACCATCCAATAGTGTAGTAGAAAGTTGTCCGGCTGCGAGAGCATCTATACACTTCCAAAAATGGGAAGTGCTCCCTCTGAATTCAATAATCCAAGACATCAATTTTTTATATATCAGGGGAACATAGAGGTATTGACAATCAAATTAAAAGCTAACAAAGAGCAAAAGTAGAACATATCAGCAATGCATTACAGTATGATGTGCAACTATAAATTTGATAGTATCCAATTTCAGAAGTAGCTTTCCCGTCATATATCTGCACGGAAAAAAAACACAGTTGTTCCAAATTAACTGCCAAAGAAGGATGTCTGTAAAGTTTCTTCACCAAGATACAAATAATTCTTGTTATCTACTCAAGAAAGATGTCATCGAACTAACCCAGAAGCCAGATCCAAGAACAGACTTAAGGTGTGATCTATAACCTCCTCACTCTGCATGTAAGAACACATTTAGATATAATCGAAACTCACATAACAAGATAATTAACAAGCAAATATAAACCTAACTACCTCCGCATAACACTTGAGATTAGTAGCTATTTTTGCAACAATCACATTCAACAACAAAAGATGATCGTGAAGTCCAAGAAGCTCAGACAATCGGGCATATAACTGCTGCAACATAAAGACGAAGCCTCAAGGTATGCCGTATACAATAACAACTAACCTCCTAAACAAGGCAAGAAGAATCATCTCATTACCTTAGAAGAATGCATGGCCTGATCACCTACATAAGACTTTCTAAAGTGCTGAAAGAAAGTGAGAATTGCCCGATCAAGTCTTTGCTTGCTTAATTCACTATATCTCTGCCAACCAACAAGAGAATAAAACTATATTTAAGCATTACACAAAACTTTAACGCATATTTTGTCAGAAATAACCATTAGGATAGTAGGAAACCAATTCCTCTAAAAGCAGAAATTGTTAGAGAATGGGTGCAACAATGTGAATGAAGTTCACAAATCCCTCCACTCAATTTTCCCACTCACATGTGAAGAAACAAGGATATAAATATTACCAGAAGCTACTAACCAATTGATGAGCAAACATAAATGGGGAGACATTAATCAAAGCCTTGTCTAACAACAAAAACAAAATGAAAGAAGTTTTTGCACCATGGGATGAGCTAAAAGTTCAATCCTAAACACCACAGCTCATTAAAAATAGACTCTAGTGTCTCCATGATAACCACAGGCTATTGTTCAGAAGGTGATATTTCTTTCCTTACAGATATTGGAAGTTACAATATGATGGAAACTCCCAACATGCATGACAGCATACAACTGAAAATGGCCAATTCCTAGAAAACTAACAAAGCAACACCAATTTCATCCTTCAAGAAAAAGTTAAAAAGGTATGTGTATATATAGACATGTATTAAGATATAACTTTGTATGGTGAATTAAAATCCTTACTTTCCAAAATGAGAATAGAATTGACTCGACTTGAATCAGGAATCATATTATTGATTTACATCTGAACAACATAAAATTAAAAAAAATGGGATCATCACTCCACATCTCTTTCATTGAGGAAACATTTATCCTTGTAATATCGGGGGAAAACAAACTCCCTTGACAAGTAATACATATGTTGGTTTAAAAAGGAGGAAGCAGGGTAAACGATGGATTTATAGAGAGAGAGCAAGATCAAATATTTGGCTATTAAACAAATATTTTGTAAATAATAATATTAAAAGAAAAGAGACAGAAAAGATACAAACAATAAGGGCCTGTTTGGTTTGCATTTCAAAAAACAATATCTAAAAACTATTGGGAAGAGTTTTAAGAAAGTGTTTTTAAAAATTTAGATTGCAAGACCTGTTTAGTTATATATTTTTGAAAATAATTTTAAAGAACAAAAATTATAAAATTTATTTAGACAATAATCCACAATTTCCACAACCACCGAAACAAGCAACCAAGACCCGTCTTCTTCAACTCTCTGTCTCTCTCTCTCTTTCATTTTGCATCAAGACCCATAAAGCACCGAGCACCACCGAAACCCACAAAGCACTGAAACCACAATCATCACCAAAACTCACAACCACTACCAAAACTCACAACCACCATCAAAACCCACAAAGCACCACCAAAACCCACAACCACCACTGAAACACTGACTTATAATGCTGGAGAAGATTTGAAGCTTCCTCTCTGCTCGTTTTGTCTGAGAGGCAACGTGGAGAGAGAGACAGAGAGAGAGAGAGCTTGCTCTCTGATCGTCTTCGTTCTCTACTCGTTCTGTCTGTGTGTGTCTTCATTCTGTTTGATGGGCAAAGTGGAGAGAGGCAGAGAGGAAGAAAAAAAAGAGAGGAAGCCTTGCAGCTAAGGAAACTCGAAGGGCAGACCTCATTAAAGAGGTGTTCTCCGTGTTTCCATAATTTTTAAAGAAAAGTCTAAAAACAAGTGTAGCTTATTTTCTATTTCTTTGTTTCAAATCTCATTTTTTTCAAAAAATTTGAGCCAAAAATGCTAAACAAACAAATTTTGGGTGTTTTTAAAATTTTGAGAACAAAAAACTGTTTTGCAGAACATAACCAAACATGCCCTAGTTGTCCTGAAGTCCTTAAAGGTGCTTTAGAAAAGCTTATCTTAGAGAAGAAAACAAACAGATTTATAATTGAAAATTTTAAGTTATCAGTCCATTAGATTCCTAAATCACATGAATCATTTATAGTCACAAATTATGCAATTTCCTTGTGAATCGAATAGATTTGCAATGGTTCGTTACAACTTAATGAAGATTCGACAAATTACTTCGTATGATCGTATCGAAACCGGATCATAAGATTCGAATGCAGAATCTTAACACATTAACAACTACACATGCATAAGGGAGGAAAGAGAAAGTATTATGACAAGTCATCAAAAGAAACACAGTGTTAATGGATGTTCCGTCGCATAGGTCAAGAATAAAAATCCAGCAGCCAAGTATGAGCATTACAACATAGTTTCAGTATGATAGAAACCATTAAGTGCAAATATTACGAGAAGTTAAGTTTGTATCCAATAGGCTTGCCAACACCCCACATTGGAAGTACCTTTGTTGGATTATAGCCTCTAATGACATTTTAATGAATTACAAGGCATCCTTTAAGAGCACCAGAATCCAAAGGGTCAAAGAGAGATAAAAATTGCCTGTAACAATAGAAGCATAAGAGTGACTCTTTCAGTGTCGCCATTTGCCTCTATATTTGAAACCATTGGTGACTTCTTCAACTTTACTCTAGTTGCCAAAGAAAGATACACAATTTCTTATACAAACCAATATCAATTCATGCTTCCTTAGCCCGCACCACCACTCCTAGAATGTCTTCCACATCCATAATTCTTTAACTAAGTCAAATATCACTATATAATGCCATAAAGGTTTCAATACATGTACAGGCAACATATACAAAGAAAAGTCTACATATGTGTAAGAGGAAAACAAACAGACAAGACTCTTCATAATGTCCGAGATAGTAAAGCATCCAACGCAAAAACAATTGGCAATGAGTGGAGTATATAAACCAACCTTCGGTGGTTCTAATTATTCAAAGTGGTACAAGCTCTCTTTATATCCTCCCTCACGTGGGATCCGGGCTCACATGGGGGACAAGCAAACAACCATGTATACAAAGAAATTCAAATGGGTAAAATACTTGTCAAATGGAACTCTAAGGCCCAACTCTGTTGCCATGTTACAACATCCAATTCAAAACTAATTGACAATGGGTGGAGTAGCCCCTCAAGTATATAAACTAACCTTGGGTGATCATAATTATTTGATGTGAGAAATAAGCTTTCTTTAGGAGAGAGTTCCAAAAAATGTTCAACCATTATTACTATCATCCAACTACAAGATAAGCACAAATTTCTCCTCAATCTACGTATTACACTTCCACTTACTCAATTATTCAAATTTGAATGTAATTGGAATTCAAAATCCGAGTTAATTGAGGACAAGGTAAAGGAGTTGGATCAAGAAGTGGGTTGGCAAACACTGGGCCTTGCTAAGAAATGAAAGTGGATTGACAAAAAAGAAGCAAGTGGGCTGGAAAGAAATTTTATTAATAATGGGCTTGATAAGTTCAGCCATTTTAATTCAAGAGATATTAGATATATAAAGAACAGTGGAAGCCTGGTCCACTTCGCATCGCCTGTCGGGGGAGAGCTCGAACGCTTGAGCTTTCTCACATTGGTGGAGCGTTTCTATCCATAGACAAGGCGTCAAAATCGAAAAGTGATGGCTAAGGTTCCTGAAGATGATAGTCAAATGAAGTGGGCATGTGGAGATTTTGATAGGGTATCAATAGCCAATACAAAGATGATGATGGGCAAAGGAAATTGCTAGAAAGGGGATATAGCTAGAGAGGCAATTTGCGATGACCGGGAGAATCAGAGGGAAGAATTTGAGGTTGGTTTCGGTAGTATGGATGAGGAGTTGCACAGAATTTGGCTTTAAAAGTTGAGGAAGGCTGATGTGATGCTATGGTTGCTGCAAAGGAGTGGTATGAAAGTGCCGATTCGAAGAAGAGTTTGAATGATTCTTTATAGGCTGCAATATTGATATATGGCAGGTAGATACAGATTGATGATGTTTATGGTGATATTGCGAGAATCTTTACGGAAGATAAGTTGATGACTGCTCAAGACGAAGTCAGATGGTACTCCAACAGGAGTCTGAGATAATTTCTAATGTTGTTCCTTGCACTTTTGAAGGTAATATTTCCCAAAAAATTCCAGTGATGGTTTCTTCTGGCGATGTTCTCTTTTTAGGGGGAGGGAGTGCTTCTTCTAGTGATGTTTTTCTTTTCTGGGGGAGGGAATACTTCTTCTGGTAATGTTCTCTTTTTTGGGGGAGGGAGTGCCAATGTCCATTCTTCTTCTAGGTCTGGTGTTGTTACAGGGATAGAATTGAGTAAGGAAATGAGGATGTCTGGAGTGGGACTGACTCTTTTTGTGAAGGATGGGTGTGGGAAACAATTTGTTTCTACAAACCGGGTTGTATCGTAGTCCTCTAAGAAGGGTTGGGTGGTCCATGGGGAGAATGGACATCTGTCTGGGTGGACTAATTTTAGGCTTATTAGATGTTCCACCAAGTAATGCTTGTGATATTGACTACTGATAATTTTGGACCAGGGAACTCTAATGCTAAGCCAACTAGGGCTATGGTGACTTTTGAGGGAGAAGGGAATAAAGAGGGGATAGAGGAGGGAGGTGAAGATAGGAACAAGAATGACTGTTTTTTGTCGGATGAGGAGAAATGAGTTGTGTTAAATTTTTTTTTTACATAAAATGAATTTGTCTCTAGTTCCATCAAAGAGGAAAGGAAAATAAAAAAAGGAAGTTAAAAATGAGAGAAAGATGAAAGGAGTGAGTGTTAAAAAACTTAAGAGTCACAGGTAAATTATGAGGATGGTAGTTGTAGAAAAGGAGGGGAGGAAGATATACTTTGTTATGAAAATTGTTAGCTGGAATGTTAAAGATTAGGGGCAGGGAGGAAAAGATGTTCAATAAAGGAGTTTTTGGGGAGAATTGGGTCGGACGTTATAATTTTACAAGAAACTAAGTTGGAGGTCATTGATAGGAGGGTCATTAGTAGTGTTTGGTGGTCTAGATTTAGGAATTGGGCCTTCCTACCTTCTCTAGGGTGTGCGGGGGGGTTATTGTCATTAGTTGGGATGAGAGATCTATAACTGTGGAAGAAACTCTAGAGGGGAAATTTCCTATTCAATCAGAGTTTTGATCTATGGGCCTAATAAGCTAAGGCTTAGGCATTGGTTATGGGAAGAGTTAGCAGGGATATTTGGAGTATGTGG